GGATTTCTCTTAACTGAGGTCATGCTAACTCTAACTAACACAAAGGTATTGAGAATCTAAATTATCATGGCATTTATGGAAATGAAAATAAAGACAGATCTGAGGTGCGATATGACAAACAGAATTTGTATCTCCAAGCTGAACAGCCTTCCCTTCCCTTTCATTTCCTAAAATGACCCTGACTTCTTATTGTACTGCCTATATCTCCTCTTCTCCCTTGACCTCCCACTTACTAAGTTCACTAGTGCCTTTCTATAAACAAGGGTAATCACTCTAACCCTGCCTTTCTGGCACCAAACTGTCCCAATTCCTAATTTTCCTAGCACAGTCCTAAAGTTGTATTACCTCCACATGCGCTTTCCCTCTTCCTGCTTGCAGGCTCTCACCACTCCACTCCAGTGGAGTGGTGGTTGCACACCACCACTCCAGCTGTGCTCCTGCACACCACATTCACCACGCCACAACCCCTGATTGAAAACCATTAATGACTACTTATTGGCTAAATAGCCATGCTACCGCCTTTCACCTCCCAACCTCGTAATGGACACAACAGAGAATGCAAAGCAATCACAGCAGTGCTCTCCAAAAGAGCAGCCCAGAGTCCTTCCCAAAAGAATGTTTCAATAGCCAGTACTGACCAGTAGGAACTGGCACTCAGGAAGAAACCCACTTGTATCCCTGATATAAAAGATAAAATCTAAACTCCTTGGTTTGTATTTCAAAACCCCGAAGTGTCTATTACTCTCTCAAAGTTTTACAGACAATGAGGCTATTAAAAAAAAAAAAATGATGTGAAAGCCTTTGAAATGGAACAAAAACTTACTGGGTATTTTCAATGAAAAACTAGTTTTTGCCTCGCGGACCCTTCTGGGTTTTTTGATTCTACAGGATCTCTGTATCAGTCACTGTCTTTGAGCTATTTATAACTCTGTGAGTTATAGATGACTGATTGATTGCTATGCAAATGATTCTTGTACATAGACATGAAATAAATTTTGTCTGGGGAGGTTCAATTGATTTCCTTCCTCCACTATGGAAGAAGCCAGTTTTGCCTCTATTTTAAATTCACTTCAGTACTCTATTGCTCTTTGAATGTTCAAGTGAGTTGTAACATCTTGCTCATTCTCTGATTAATTAATGAGTTAAACTCATTTGTCATGAGTTCATTTTATATTTGTATGAGAGTCATGATTTCATGATTTTGCCTTAAAATTTTTTTTTTAAATATCCTTTTAGCTAACTCTTTTTTCTTTTTTCTTTCTTTCTTTTTTTTTTTTGCAGTACGCGGGCCTCTCACTGTTGTGGCCTCTCCAGTTGCAGAGCACAGGCTCCGGACGCGCAGGCTCAACGGCCATGGCTCACGGGCCCAGCCGCTCCGCGGCATGTGGGATCTTCCTGGACCGGGGCACGAACCCATGTCCCCTGCATCGGCAGGCGGACTCTCAACCACTGCGCCACCAGGGAAGCCCTAGCTAACTCTTTTTTCATTATTGCCTTTAAACTTTTATTACATCCCCAATACAGAATGTCTTCTCTGGCTCTTTCTACCTGACACTACTGATTCTTCCCATTTCAGAGAGGAAACAAATCTCCTCCATCATGTCCTCAAACTACAAAAGCCATGCTTTTCCATGACGAACCTAGACTGCAATGATGTTAATTTATTTTACAATTATTGTTTCTTTGTAATGCCTTCTACAAAATGCACTGTTTCATTCACATGTTGTAGACAGTGCATATTTATCTTACATCATTAATTCATTTATATGTAAGCAACTTCTCTCCTCAATTAAAGTGCAAGCTCCTTGAGAGAACTGATCACAATTCCTTTTCCTTTTCTCCTCTTCACTGTCTACCTAGTACCTTAGTGCCCAATAAATATCCACTCTGAGTCCCCAGTATGTGTAGGAAGGATGCTTGCAAGCTGGTAACCACTAGTTTGTTCTCTGTATCTGTGAGTCTGTTTCTCTTCTGTTTTGTTTTATACCTTTGTTTTACTTTTTAGATTCCACAGACAAATACTCTGTTATCACTTATATGTGGAATCTAAAAAGGATCCTAAAAAGGATCCTTCCAACCAAGATTTTTTTCAGGTAATCACTTAGCTTTATTTGGGGAATCAACCTACTATGTTTTGGCTGAAGGTGGTTCCTTCCTAGGAGAATTCACACTAAACTTTAATGAAGATCATGGGAGCTTCTGTGAAACACCAAATAAAGTGTAACACTGATCAGAAAGGCTAGGGAAAAAAGAATAAATTGATATGCTTCTGGGTACTTTTTTCCCTCAACTATCAGTACTGTGTATACCTATATTCCTAAGAATAGTCTATGTGAGGATTATATACATTCAGTTCAACATTCATTCTTTGATTTTACAAATGTTTATTGATTGTCAACTATATGTTAGAAATGTTTTGCAGGCCCTGGGGGTGCATTTGTAAATAAAATGTAATTTCTATTCCAAGAAGCTTACCTGCTAGTGAAGAAGGAGAGGGAAGTATTGAGAAAGAAAAGGGAAACAGACACAACTGCGACCTGAGCATATAGATAATTGGTGACAAGCCAAATCACGTTGCTCGTTATGACAAAAAAGACCTTCTTATTTTCAGGTATTATAACTACTAAACCTTTAAAATTAATCTATTGTAAATACTCCTAATGGAATAATGAAATTTCAAATTTTGCAGATCTGTATCACCAGGACACGTACCCTACATTCAAAGCCTTACATACCCTAATACCACCTAAACCAAATGAGAGACCACCAACATTTTTCTATGGTTTAAGTGCTAAGTTGTGAGAGACTAATAAATGGTCTTGAGACTGCTTCCAGCATATCTGATTTTCTGAGCTATAAAATGCTTTACCAGCTGAACAGTCTACCAAGTATATTAAATCCACTCTTTATAATGCCATACGAAGTCAAAGGATTTCATAACATTTGAGCATTAACATTATTACTGAGCATTTTCATTTTTCATTCATTATTACCGAGGTTTTACTTATGATAATTATTTCAAATTAAAACCATCTTGAGAAAACTGCCACTGTAAAAAACCTAGTTCATTTAACCAGTTTTATTTTTCTCATGATGATTTTTTATTTTTTACCTTTATTCTTAGAGGAACCCTTAGAATAAGGCATTTAAGATTTTATACCATAGCACTATGTTAGTAAAGAGATTATGTAAATAAAAAAGACCAACAAATACTAATAAAAGTTATAGGCTTCTTGTTGTTATTGATAATTTTCAGCTTCACATGACATACTAGTATAATCAAAATGATTAAATAAGAAATAATAAGCAATCACTTAATGATAATGATAACCTAACACTTGTCAGGTCCTAAATATTTTCACATATATTTTCTTTCTTAATTCTCACAACAGTGTGATAAAATATGTTTAATTCTATTCACTTTTACAGACGAAGGAATCAAGAAACAAGCGATTTACTAAATGTTGAAGTGGCATTTTGTGTACTGAACCCAGGTCCTCAAACTCAACATTTCTGTTTTGGTTCATACTTTTAAAAAGAGCATTTAATTTACAAGCCAAATACTGTTGGCAAGACACTTTCTAAGGATAAGTAAAATATATGTGGAGGAACACTAAACATTTTATTCACTTACGATGTCATCATGCTGAAACCAAGAAAGTCAGTGTACTTTCCCAATGGCCTGGTTAAATCTAAGGAATAGATTATTTCCCAGCTAGGGTCTGCACACTGTCGATCAAAATCACTTGCTTACACAGGACTAAAATACTCTCAATTAGCATCTTTCCTTTCCTCACACTCAAAATATAAATATTTTATTCTTAATTAGCCTTATTGTTTAAAAGTTTCTTATTTTTCATCTGCTCATTAAAAACATTAAAAAAAAATCACCACTAGACCCAAGTCACTCAATATTTTGTGTGTTTTCAAAAGTTTTAAACACAAAATATGCATATTCAATATTTGCATCATACTCTCCATATAGCTTTAAATACCTCCCCCTGTATATAATAGCATGTCAATATTTTCTTTTTGAAAATATGACTTTTAATGGCTGAATAATATTTCATCGTTAGGTGGTACCATAATTTATTTTACCATTCTTTCAATTCATGTGGTTTTTATTATAAAAATGTTTATTTATAAAGTAATCTAACCATGTTTTTTAAAACTTGAGGAACAGAGAAAGGAATGATATCACAGCCCTAATTCTTGTCTAACAAGTCGCTATTATAAGATTTGCTTGCTTCTATTCTTTTTTTTATACACCTATCATCATATGTTATCATTAAAGTACATGTAATTTTATATCTTGAATTTGTTTCCATTTAACATTATATAATAAATCTTTTCCAAAATCTTTGTGTCATGCTGGGTGGAAATTTCACACTTTATCTAACCATTACTTTATTGCCGAATAATAAGTCATCTCCCCTTTTTTTCTATAAAAATGTATATCATTTTCCAATAAATATTGCAAGCATGTAATCTTTATATATTTGCACTTAAAAAAAATGATTTCCTAATATCAGATTCCTACAAGTAAGATTACTGAAAAAAAGGCTAACCAGTTTTTATCATTATTTGGATATTGTAAAAAAAAAAAATGTTGACTGCCCTTCAAAGTATAAATAGCAACCTAATCTCAGTTTCTTATCAACTAGTCCTTTTAGTGATTGGGAAATACAGAAACAAATAAGCATAATTACATTTAAGCTAATTATGTTTTCCATAAATTAGTGCATCACCTGTCTTGAGAGAGCAGTGACCACTTAAACACACACAATTTTTTTCTTAATTCCTTTTTTTTTTTTTTTTTCATTTTAAAAGTTTGTATCTACATATCTTTCTGGTATAGTTTAGCTTACTTTCCCCTTTGAATCTTAGATATAGTTTTAGAAATGCTTTCCAGAACTGCTTCCTTTGGGGAGTGCTCTGAAATCCACATCAGGACACAGCAGTAATCCTGATAGAAGGACAAAGAAAATGCCCCAACTTACCGTTTCTAACGCATGTACACGGTCCTGCAAATAAAGCATATTACATAATTATTAAAACAAAGCTATAAAAAATCATTTCAAGTTTACTTAATTTTTAGATTTTCTATTTATCCTCTATGAACAATAACATTTAAAAAATGTAAAAAATGAAAATTCCTACTCAGGATAATCTCTCCAATAGAAAAATAGTCACAAAAGAATCATTTTCTCATCTCAACTAGTGTTAGGAGGACTACAAGGTTTAATTTAATAGTAAATACCATAAATTCAAACATAGTTACTAAGTGGAATAGATTTTATCACTTTTGCATTGGTAAAATTATTTATCTATTTAGTGAAATATAACTATTAGATCTGAATATATGAACCACTAGACAATAGTAGTGATTTAAAAAAGGAATTTAGCACATATACCAGCTCTCAATTAGGTATACAGCACAAAGTATGCTCTCACAGGAAGTAAAGTTCAGACATAAGAATGACTTCACCAATTAAAATTAATAAGTACACTGTTAATTGAAACAAGGCAGGAAAAGTGAATGAGAAAGATATGTCACATGCAGCCAATCCTGAACCCAGATAGGTCTTCATTACCTACAATATCTTAGAAGGTTTCATAGAAATACTGGTTTTACAAAGAGTCAGTGATAATATCGCTTTAAAAACTAAATGATTAAGAATGGTTTCATTCTCAATCCAACAGTTGTGTTCTCAACTCTTCCCAGAGCTAACAGCTACATACTAAAAGTTTTTACCAAAAAAAAAAAAAAAAGCTGACTTGAGAGATAGGAGACTGAAAATTCAAGGAAGTGCAAAGCCATCCTTTTTACGAGGGTCAAGGCCACTTTTCTTTCTATTCTTTCATTTTAAGTAGTTGGAGGAGATATATAAAATCTGGATTTTTAAAAATTAAATTGTTTGCGCTAAGAGGGAAAGGAAGGAAAATGGTGCAGAGGGCCATTCAGCTCAGATCTCTGTGACCGTACAGAGACTGACAGAGACCCATGACACTTAGGAGCATAAACTTGGCTCTCCCCTGCATTCCCCCAGCTTCACCTAACACACAGAGGCCTTGCCTTTGAGGACTTCTGCAACCCAGCCTTCAACCCTCAGACTGTGAAACTGGGTTGAACATTTCTGCCTCTTTAAATATTTGGCTATGTGGGCACAAGCTAAATGAATATATTATGCAAAATCAGCCCAAAGCAGATTGTTTTTAGCAATATAATCTGTTTAATTACATTCTGTTGGCATACTTGAGAGAACCTCACCCTTGCCCCCATAATTTTCATAAAATAACTGCTATTTTATCGGTGACTTGTGTACTGTCACATTTGAGTAGCTCGTAATAAATGCATACAATGCCTCAAGGGGGCTTTGATCTGCTCTTACCAGGCATCTTATTCACAGTGCATCTGGGACAAAATCATTCAGCAAAGTGTTATCATCACTTGCAGACTGAACAGAGCCTCGTTAGACAGTCTTCGGGCAGTATCGCATTCATATGAACCACCTTGGAAGGCTGAAAATATTTACAGCCACTATTTGGGCCTTAAGTTTTCCCCACACCATGTACCTATGGGGCTCATATTATTTAGAATTAGCATATTTTAAAAGCACACATACAGCTGGTTTGAAATCCGTGATGTCATATGATGCCAAAATAGTACAACTGAATTAAATTCCATTTTAATTCATAGCTCACTGTTTGGTAAAGATAAACTGATATAATTTATGTATTACTGTCTTCATTTTACTTAAATATTTGTTACAGGATTTTAAAATACGCACTGTCACGGATTACATGTTTGTGTACTCAGAATTCATGCATTAAAACCCCAATCCCTAATGTGATGGCATTTGGAGATGTGGCCTTTGGGAGGTAACCAGGTCATGAGGATCGAGCCTTCATGGGATTAGTGCCCTTATAAGAAGAGACACAAGAATGCTTGCTTCTCTTTCTGCTCTCTGCCAGGTAAGGGAATAAGGAGAAGATGGCCATCTACAAGCCAGGAAGAGGTCCCTTACCAAGAACCGAATCTGCCAGCACCTCGACCTTGGACTTGCCAGCCTCCAGAACCGTGAGAAGTAAATGTTTGCTGTTTAAGCCATCCAGGCTACAATAATTTGTTATAGCAGTCCCAGCTGACTGAAACATATGCCTAGTCTATAAGGCTAAAACGCAAATGGTCAAAAAACCTCAATTTCGTTAAAATATAAAGATCAATAATCTATTTCAATACAATTTACTTATGTCTGTCTATAATGTACTCCATTCCAAAATGGTACTGCGATAGCTTTCAATGAAAAATATATATGTTAAGAAAATGAGAAAATTGGGGAAACAAGAAATTCAATTCATTAGTCTGAATTTAAATAATTCCGTTTGCCAATCAACAACAGCTAATAGGATACCAGTCATTGTTGCCAATTAGTGAGCTCTGTCTAAATTGCAGTTTTGTTGGCCTTAATTGTAGGCCATAAATAAAAACAAACTACTCCTAATCTTTATGAACTTATTAACTTGCTTTTTTTTTTAACATCTTTATTAGAGTATAATTGCTTTACAATGGTGTGTTAGTTTCTGCTGTATAACAAAGTGAATCAGCTATCTGTATACATATATCCCCATATCCCTCCCTCTTGCACCTCCCTCCCACCCTCCCTATCCCACCCTCTAGGTGGTCACAAAGCACCCAGCTGACCTCCCTGTGCTACGCGGCTGCTTCCCACTAGCTATCTATTTTACGTTTGGTAGTGTACATACGTCCATGCCACTCTCTCACTTCGTCCCAGCTTACCCTTCCCCCTCCCCATGTCCTCTAGTCCATTCTCTATGTCTGCGTCTTTATTCCTGTCCTGCCCCTACATTCTTCAGAACCTTCTTTTTTGTTGTTTTTTTAGATTCCATATATATATGTTAGCATACGGTATTTGTTTTTCTCTTTCTGAGTTACTTCACTCTGTATGACAGACTCTAGGTCCATCCACCTCACTACAAATAACTCTTTTTATGGCTGAGTAATATTCTATTGTATATATGTGCCACATCTTTATCCATTCATCTGTCGATGGACACTTAGGTTGCTTCCACGTCCTGGCTATTGTAAATAGTGAGGCAATGAACACTGTGGTATGTGACTCTTTTTGAATTATGGTTTTCTCAGGTTATATGCCCAGTAGTGGGATTGCTGGGTCGTATGGTAGTTCTATTTTTAGTTTTTTAAGGAACCTCCATACTGTTCTCCATAGTGGCTGTATCAATTTAAGAAATGTATTGCAAAATTTAAATGGTTGAAGTTGACTTCTTTTTTGGCAGAAAAGATTAGTTATTATAATTCTGTATATAAAAGAATTAGGCTACTGCAAATCTCTATTCTCAAACAAAATATTTGCATACTTCTGCTCATGTTCTTATCATTAAAATATCCGATAACTTAAGCCAATATTGTGGCACTGATACAGTCTATGAAAACACATGCCAGTATACGTCCTGGAATGAATATATAATTATACCAAAATATATTCTCCCTATCCTCTCCCACTCTTACTATAACTGCAACTGTAGTGTTTTGTTGTTGCTGTTTAATCTTCAATTTTCATTTCAACAGATTTTATCTTCAAGCTTGGCCTGCAGGTTCAACACTCTCCCTCCTCTCCTACCACATACACACTCCTAAGGTTAGATCCCCAAAAGAAAAGAATTGCTAGGATATTGAAAGGGGGAAGAGTAGGTGAGAGGAGTAGAGGGGGAAGACAGAAGTAATGAAGTAATGAAGACACTCTCAGTATAATCATGACATTTCAGGTGGTTTTAATAAATCAGTGGTTCTTATTTTTGTAGCCATGGACTTTGAGAATCCTTTCCCCAGGAAAATGTACACTATACACAACACACAGAATTTTGTATATATTTTTAGGGGAATTGCAGACTCTCTGAAACCCACTCATGGGCCTCCAAGTGCTTTTACTCCAAATAAAAACACTTGAAATAAGATGTAAGAATTATTTTATTAGACCAAATAATTTATTTTAAATAAATTATTTTATTATGCCAAATAAACTATTTTATTAGACCAAATCTATTTATTTCTCCTGTATGAAATATTTCTGGATAACAAGGAAAGAAACAATGGGGAGTGGAAGGTTAAAAATTGGAGGAGAGGTTTCCTTCAAATGTTTTGAAGAAAAAAGCTCTTAGGGAAAAAATATGTTTTATCGTTACCAGTTTTTTTGTGATTGGAGAGTCCCTTTCCCACTATTTTTTAGTGCTATTTAAGATGGGGAAAGCCTAAGAAAAACCTAAAATGGCAACAATTATTTTAATGTTTACTCTTAAGGATTATACATACAGTCACTGCATAGTCCTTGAGTTACAATGAAGAGTACTAGCTGCTATTATCAGTGTGAATACTACATACCATTTCTAAATGAAAATAATAATGCTAGAAATCACATTTTAATTTATTCTGGGCTTGACAGATGGAGTAAGGTGAGTTATATTTTTGAGAAGGACAATAGCACATGCACTATAAAAAAAAGATGTATTTTAACTTTTTATCATTAGGTTAGTAACCTGTCTTGAGCTGTATATATTCCTTTGCTACCTGGTCACAGTGGGGCGTACATTAGAGTTTATGAATAAACCAAAGCAAATTCATTAGTATCACTGGAGATGGGAACATATTTGTAGGCTGTTAGGAAATGAACGCTACGTGGAGAGCTGGTATCTGAATCCTTGGTCATTAACAGTTTATTTGACTCAGCTGAGCCAATCAACTAGTCACATTGATTCATCCATCCCATCTAAGAAATGAAATAGAGACTCACAGGTCTGAATACTCAGAGTTCTCTCCCCCGGATAAGTAGAGCTGTACAGGTCTAGTGACTTTATCACAATAATGCAGCATTTTCCAAAAGTGCTTTAAATACATCCATTAGCATACAAAAAAAGCACAATACTGGCGTAAAAATATAATGAAAGTCTCTATTGCTTCCGAGTCTAAGAAACATTACAAGCATAG